GATACTAAATTATTTTAGACAATTTATGCAAGAGGTACCTATATTTGAATGAGATTGTTATCTTATCTGTTTAGATGCATGGTATTGTTATGATGTGTATATTTGAAGTCATAACCCTTGAATAAATTGTCTAAAATGTATTCACTGCATACAACATACTGGAAACGAAATTATTAGATGTCTGAGATAGCCAAAGACCCACATTAAAATTATGATGGTATTGATGAATACCACCTTACACATTTTTACTTACTTATGCCAATATCGTTTACCGGGGGCATCTAAATGGTACCCGTCTGGTTTGTAACCTATCCTTAATCTTTCCAAATTTCTAGGATTTCTGTTAGTTATAATTGGAGATATTTCATTTTTCGGTAAAATTGTCGAGTATCTCAGTTGTTGAATGTTAAATGATTTATACGCATTTTGAAAAGATTTAAACATCTTCTAAACACTGCTTTTTACTTAAAAGTGAGGTTAATTAATGTTTTTAATAATTTGATTTGAATTCTTTCAATCTCTTATTCTGTGTCCAATTTTCTTCTAAATCTCTATGTTTTGGATATCTGAACAACAGCTGTTTCCTGTCTTTATTTTTTTTTAATAATAATTTTTGGGCATTTATGTATATCAAATACACATTCCAAATTTAAAAATAAAAATAACCTCAAATAATAATAGTAACCTATCCTATTTGCCTTGCCAGTTGCCATTACAATTGTCAAACAAGATTTATTAGTAAACAATACGTTTTGTTTAGTTTTTATCTTTTTTAATATTTTCATCCTAGTTTTAATTTAGACTGTTTTAATCAGAAATATGTTTTGACCTAGTTTCAAAAACCAATATTAATTTAAGATATTGGTAATATTTATTATTAATTTTTTTTAATAAGTAATAAGTTCCAAAGTCCATAAATTTAAACATAGTTCAAAAATGGCCCTTCTAAATACAACTTTAAAACATTTGGGTAAGAATAACTTCTATTTGTATATATTTTAACTTAATTATACCAATTTTAGTATATTACCAAATGAAAAGGGGTATAGCCTCCCTAAGTGCCTTACCTGAAATACACCAAATGTTACAAAAAACCTGTAGAGACTTTGCGGAAGGCGAATTAAAACCAATTGCGGCAAAAGTAGACAGAGAGCATTTATATCCTAAAGAACAAATCAAGAAAATGGGTGAACTGGGTTTAATGGCAGTGGCTGTACCTGAAGAGTTAAATGGTACAGGACTGGACTATTTAGCATATGCTATTGGAATGGAGGAGATTTCTAGGGGGTATATAATTGTTAAAAAAGTAGTATAAAATGTTATATATTAAAAATTATGTTTTAGTTGTGCATCTGCAGGAGTAATTATGTCTGTCAATAATTCTTTGTACATTGGACCTATCTTACAATGGGGAAGCAAAGAACAAAAAGAAAAATATATTACACCTTTTACTAATGGAGATAGGGTTAGTACTATGTGAAACAGTATAACTAAGCTTCTATTCTAAGTATATAATAATATAAACCAATCAGTAATATTTTTTGTATGGTTTAGATCATATTTCATACTCAAAAGGAATTGTAAGTAAAATATTTTTTTTATTTCACTGTAAAAGAGAGAATAAAGTAATTTTTTGATCTGGTTACTTTGAGCAAATATTTTGGCCTAACCATAATAACTTACTCTGCTTGAATGTTGATTATATAAGTTAGTTATATTATAATTAGAGTTTGTGAATACATTTTGGCAAGGTAAAGAAATTATACCATAGACATTTTAAATATACTCTTGTTCTTTTCTTTCCTCTCTATTAAACAAGTTTCATGTTTTGAAAGAAATCCTTTTTTCTTGCTTCTATTGTGAAATGTCCCGTTGCATTTTAAGGATGGTAGTATGTTATGCAAGTAACTTTAATAGTTATTACCAATGAAACACCAACCAAAAAACATACCCAAACTACCAAAAAGACATAAATAATAGATTTTCTTAATTTTGGACCTTCTTCTGGGAAGGGGAAATTTCCCTATTTTCCCATGTGTATCTGCCCTTGGTCTTGAAACAAAATATTCAAGAGCATAATTTTCTCTGTTTACAACTTCATGATGCTACAAACTCTCAATTGATATAACAAACATGTTATATTATTTATAAGACTACATTTTGGTGATTATTAAATTTAAGTTGTCCATTTTATTATTGAAGACTAATTGATAATGTGGCAAATATTGGTTTGTCCCATACTGCCCTAATTATAAAAGGTAGTAAGGCTCCTCTTCTTGTCTCAGCTGAGACACTACATGTCTTAAGCACTTGGTGATGTAACAAATACTATGCTTTCATTGAACACCACCAAGAACTCTGCTCTAGGTAAAACTCATCTACTTTTTTATAGTAGTTTTGAGCATTTTATGACTAAACAGATATTGTCAACTCCTTAGTATGTTGGATGAGGTAATCAATGCATAATTTTTATGAACCCAAAATTGACCTGATTGAGGGGGAAGTGACCTGTTGTTTTTTTTTTATCTCAGCAGGACATTTGACTGTGTCAATAATTACTTCTTAGGTAATTCTTAATAATTATTTCATTTAGTTTAAAAGATTTTTAAAGGTTTTTATGTGAATCAACTTTTTTAAATCTTCCTTAAATATGAATTTCATAATTCTTTGGTCAGTTTTTGAATAGTCTAAAAGAAAAACACAGTTAATTGGATGGATGGTGTAAATATTATATACTGGATCTATATCAGAAAAGTATATTTCTTCTATTACTTACATTAGGTATTACATAGTATGATTCTGTAATAGTTAAACTTTTTTTGCCTTCCAGTACTTAATTATAACTAAGATTATTAATAAACAGTGTTTTTTTTTAACTTAATTTAGCTATGAAATTTAAAAATCTTTTGGCAATATTTTGGTCAAGTTTCTACTGCTTCTGCAAATAAACAATCAATTGGTGTATTTTTTAAAGACCCTAGACATAAGAGCTTATATGGGAAACAAAGATTTAAGAAGAAAACCCAAAGTAGAAGATGTTATCAAAGGTATCTCAAAATCTAAGTGGTTATGGGCAGCACATATGGCGAGAGAGAGAGAGAGAGAGAGAGAGAGAGAGAGGAGAGAGAGAGAGAAGAGAGAGAGAGAGAGAGAGAGGAGAGAGAGAGAGAGAGAGAGAGAGAAGAGAGAGAGAGGAGAGAGAGAAGAGAGAGAGAGAGAGAGGAGATGAGAGAGAGAGAGAGAGAGAGAGAGAGAGAGAGAGAGAGAGAGAGAGAGAGAGAGAGAGAGAGAGAGAGAGAGAGAGAGAGAGAGAGAGAGAGAGAGAGAGAGAGAGAGAGAGAGAGAGAGAGAGAGAGAGAGAGAGAGAGAGAAGAGAGAGAGAGAGAGAGAGAGAGAGAGAGAGAGGAGATGAGAGAAGAGAGAGAGAGAGTAAGAGAGAGAGGGAGAGAGAGAGAGAGAGATAGAGAGATAGAGAGAGAGAGATATGAGAGAGAGAGATAGAGAGAGAGAGAGTATTGTGTTTTCCCAGCAATACTCAAAATGTCTATTTTCCCTAGACCAATAGCGGACGACAGATGGATTATGACGTTTATGGATTGTGAATGAAGATTCATCAGAAAACAAAACATTATTTAATAAGTTATTATTCTCATTCGATTTTTCCACCATATTTTCACAAAATTCCATACATTTAAAATGATCGCCTGAAAAAAGTTTTTGTGTGGTTCGCACTTTATAGCAATTGTTTCTATTTATTTTTAAAATATTCCTTACAGTTCTCTCGTTTAGGTCCGCAATTTGTCTACTCGAACAAGCCGTTTCTTCAGCAATTTAACAATCTTGCCTTTCACGAGCTTCGAGTTCCGCTGGACGACATTTCATAGGTACAGGTATTTATGCAACCGAAATTTTCAAAGTTTTTAATAATTGATGGTACTATTTTCTCTGTCGGAATTGGGCGTTTTTCAAAAGCAGCAATAAATAACTGTATTATTTCTACAATAAAATGGTTTCCATAATACCATTTCATCATTTGAATCTTTTCGCTTCTCAAAATATACGCTTGCCATGTTAATTATTTGTTTTCAACCTTTTACTTGCTTGCGTATTGACCTTAAACGTGCTGTACACCTGCTTAATACCGCCTATTGTTTTGAGGGGAAAGTGTAGAGAGGGCAAACCGTTTATACTATTTGTCTGTCTAGAAGTGCGTTCTTTATTTAGCTCACGCTGTTGTCGCATATCAATTTCTCAATTTAGTGTTCTTTGTTAATTAATCAAGTAATGTTATTAATATAACAATATTAATTTTCATTCTACAATGAACTGTAGTGGATTTAAATATTATGTTACACTCATGTATCCGACTAATATTTTAGAAGAAATGATGTAACAGAAATTTTGCAACACTTGTTAAAAATTAGACTCGCTACTCCAACATGCGTGGATTGTTGTCTCACTCGTATTCAAACAATTAAGTGTTACCTTTGTTCCACATAACTGAATAACGTATACGGTAGATTATATAATATATATATAATATATATATATATATATATATATAAATATATATATATATATTATATATATATATGAGTAAGAAAAAAGAAGTCCTTGTGACTCGTTTGGAAAAAATATAAAACTGTTTTGGATGGGTTGGAGTCAATAAAAGGGGCTATTTGTTAACTATTTTTTACTCGAGCTTTCAATTGTGTTTACAATTATTATCAAAAGCTGCTAAAAATACAAAATATCTTACAAAGTTGAACTAGAAATAAAAAATTATATATATATATATATATATTATATATATATATATATATATAATAATATATATATAATATATATATATATATATATATATATACCGGGGTGGTGAAACGCCAAACGGTCCATAGGAAATTCCAATGGAAAATTCTAAATTGTTAAATTCCTGCTTCCCTAATTATTTTACATCAAAATTCATAGGAAAATATTTGTAAAGAACTAAAATATGTATTAAAAACAAATGTTAAAATTGTTCTAACGAATTAAATGTATCTCAAAATTTTGTAAAAATATAATACATTTTTTTAGGTCACCCCTTATAAGTCGGGCCACACAAGGTACAAGAATGTGTATGACGTTGTTGCGTTTGGTCATATTTATGTTTTTACTATTTGACATTATTTGAATTGTCAATATTTTTAATTTGTGAATTAAATCATACACAAATACTAAAATGCATAAGTTTTCGCAAATACTACTACTAGTGAACAGTAACTAGTACTTTGTAAACAATAAATTATACTGTTTACAAAGCAATAAAATTGATGAAATGTAATCAGTTCACGAAAAATCGCAATAAAGGCAATAGTGCGAGCACTGCCAATCTTTATTTAACACAAGATATCATAATACACTCCATTTCAATTCCAGGTTATACAACAATCAAATATTTTCTATATAGTTTTTACTGTGATCCTTCCTAATAATAATATTATATAATTTATGATAATTTCAACATAAAAACTATAAACAAATGTTCAAACAATAAGCCATTTTGTACTAAGCAGTATCCCACTCGATTGTAAAATTCTCGTCTAACATTAGCCAGAATGCGTGACGTTATTTTTGCACACATCTTCAATAATTCGCCTTTTTAAAGTTTCAATATCTGTAAATTTTTGGTCAGAATAGATTTTTGATTTTAAATGCCCCCAGATAAAATAATCGAGCTAGCTAGATCTCGAGGAGCTAGATCTCCCGATCTCGGAGGCCACTTAATATTACAGTCAGGTCAATCAAACAATTATTAAAGCTGTTTTTAAGGAATTTCCTTAACCTCCCAGTTATTATGCGCATGGCAGCCATCCATTTGAAACCAAATTTTTTCTTCATCTAGAACTAATTCTGCAAGTCTATGTAAAATTTCTTCTTTGTAGCAAGTCTAAAAAACTTTTTGAATTTAAATTTTCCTCATAGAAAAATGGTCCAATAATATTGTGTCTAAATATCCTAACCAGACATTTATTTTTCGAACGATATTGGGTATGGCTTTCAATAATATTCTCAGGCTTTTTTGTCGATCAAATCCTATAATTTTGAACATTTGGTTCATTATTTAATGTAAATGTACAAGCCGTAGAGTTATGAATATTTAACTGATCTGCAATGGTCCGAGAACTTATTCTAGGATTTTCTACAACTGCTGTTAATACATTTATTTCATTTTGATTTTCTAAATTTTTTGGTACTTCAGCAATATTGTTTGTACAGGTACAATTAGAAATCACGGTCCCAGTATTTTCAAACTTTTCTAAAATCCTTAGAATTGTTGAGTGACTTGGAATTGGTCTATTGGGATATCTTACGCTAAATAAAGAACTGACAATTCGCGCACTATTGCCAGAATAAAACATTTTTATTATTGCTACTTTCTCCTCGACTGAATACATTTTTTAATAAACTATGTTGTTTTTTAAACAATAAATCACTAAATTAAAATTTTGGCAATTCAAATAATGTCAAATATTAGAAACATAAATACGACCAAACGCAACATCTCATACACATTCTTGTACTGTGTGGTCTGACTTTAAGGGGTGGGCCTAAAAAATGTTTTATATTTTTACAAAATTTTGGGATACATTTAATTCGTAGAAACGATTTTAACATTTGTTTTTAATACATATTTTAGTTCTTTACAAATAGTTTCCTATGAATGTATTGTTGTAAAATAATTAGGGAAGCAGGAATTCAACAACTTAGAATTTCCCATTGAATTTCCTATGGACCGTTTGAACGATTCACCACCCTGTATATATATAATATATATATATAATATATTATATATATATATATATATAAAATATATTCAATAGTTGAATAGCAGAGATTTTATCGGTCAATAATTGGCAAATGAAAGTCGTCAACTACTTCATTGATTTATTCGAATACGTTTCGCTTTTATTTTTAAAAGCATCATCAGTTCACTACAAATAAAAATAAAAAAGATTTTGAAATATAAGTAAACAACCAAAAGGGTTCATACTTACAAAAGCAATTTGTAGGTTTTTTTAGATGATATAAAAAACTCTACGATAACTTAACATTAAAACTTAGTAACTAAACGAGAGAAACGAAACAAAAAAAAAACCACACAAGAAAAACTGTAAGAGCACTATTGTTTATTTAATTTTGACCGATGGCTTCATCTGGATGTTGGTTTAAGCTCTTTCGACTCCGCACTAATCTCTTCGATTGTTTTCTGTCGGTTGTAGGATGTCATAATTTACACATGTGGCTAGTGTCGTGCATATGTTTCTTTGGAAAGCAGGGAGGTACAATTATTAAGGGAGTTAGTAAACGGAACGGAGACAGACCTATTTTAAAAAAAGGAATCATTTTTTTTCTTTTACTTTAAAAAACAAACAATCAAAACAAGAAAAAAAAGAAAAGAAGAATGGGAATGACGTTACTGTCTTGTACGTGTTTTTTTTTATTTGTTGTGTATGATGAGAGAGTGATATATCTGGCTCAAGTTGTCGATATCGGTTCTCTTATTTAGGGACGATGGATGTTTTAGAATTTGCCACATTTCAAGGATGGAACGCTTATGATAATTATTTTGTTTGCACAGTATTTTGGTATTCGTGAAGTCGATACTGTGTTTGGTTGATTGTGCAAGGGCACAGGATGGTTTTGAAATCCTAATGTCGCTTTTGTGGGACGTTAGTCGACCTTGAAGAGAGCGGCTGGTCTGGCCAATGTAGCAGGAGTTGCACTCCGCACAGGGTACATGATAGAACGACGTTGGTTTGTTCTAGAGGGGCCAATGGAGTTTTTGTCTTAGAAAATAACTTTCATTACGGTTCTGATATTTTTTAATACTATTTTGAGAGGTAAGTTTTTGAAAAGTTTGTTAAGCTTGTTCGTGATTTGTGGGAAGTACGGGAGCGAAGCATATTTTATGGTTTGTTCAGAGTGAGAGGGGACTTATTCATCTGTATTGTGTTAGAAATGGACGCTAATGTTAGCCCGTTTGGGTGTTTCAGTGATGGAAGGATAAAACCTCTGCTATTCTAATATTTAATAAACGTCGTATTTTAATGCTATGTCTATATATATATATATATATATATATATATATATATATATAAATATATATATATATATATATATATATAATTATATATATATATCATATATTTATTAGTTGTGCATAACACATTTTGTTTTATATGTTTATCATATAATTATAATTTTTCATAGGTAGGATGTTTTGCATTATCAGAACCAGGAAATGGTTCAGATGCTGGAGCAGCTTCCACAACTGCCAGATTAGACGGTGATAAATTTATTTTGAATGGTACTAAATCTTGGATAACCAATGGGTTTGAAAGTGAAGCCGCCGTTGTTTTAGCTACAACTGACAAAGGACTCAAACATAGAGGTAAGCTAACAAATATTTTCCAAATAGTTTTAAATCTACCAAGTAAAATACCGTGTAATATCCTATTCTATCAAAATTATATAATCAACAACTCAATTGTTGTTATCAACAGGTCCTCGTAGACACTTCGTCTCAGGACCATTTCACTCATGTAGAGTCATACGCCGCCATGTTACCTATCCAACGGTATAACTTAACCATCACAAATTAGAAATACTAATAATGTAAAACAAATTCAAATTTATAACATTTAAAGGGTTTTTACCCATATATTTTGGTGGCTACTAGCATGTACAACCGTTTGCACTGATGATGGATTGTATAATCCGAAAACGTTGTGCAATGTGTTTGTGATAGCCCGTTTGAGGCATTTTTATATACCTTTTATAAGGGATTTTAACAAATTTTTTTTATTAATTATCATCTTAATCAGGATAACAACGATTCTGTATGAAGTCTAATTAGGAAAGTGTCAGAAATGAGTGGTGTTTGCGAAAAGACTCTGTTTCGCATACGACAGGAATATTCATCACCTGCTGGATTACAATCTCCAAAGAGCAGGCCCAAGAAGCAAAAGGTTAGTACTTCTCGTGACAAGTACGATGAAGGTGTCAGGGGCCAAATTCGTAGAATAGTTCATCAATTTTTTCGTGACAGCATACCGCCAACAATAAACACCATATTAGCTGTTGTAAATGTCGAAGAAACTTTGCCCAACTTTTCACGGGCCACGCTACATCGCTTGCTGGGTGATATGGATTTTGTGTTTATAAAACGTGGCAGAAATTCAATTTTGATTGAAAAACCAGAAATCATCTCGTGGCGTCATCGTTATTTACGCGCAATTCGTACCTTTGAAGATTGGTTCGAAAATAACTTAATGCTAAATTTGCCAGAAAAAACTGTTGTGGTAATGGACAATGCCTCCTATCACAGCAGAAAGTCAGAACAAATTCTTAACAGTTCAACATTAAAACAAGATATTCAAGAATGGCTTCTGTCAAGGGACCTATTTTTTGAAGAAGACTACCTACAATGAGAGTTACTTGATGTAGTCAAGGCCTTCAAAGCAAAATATGGTAGGAACATAATTGAAGATATTGCCAAAAAGCACAATGTGAAGATTCTGAGGCTTCCACCCTATTACTGTGAACTCAATCCCATGGAAATGGTTTGGAGTGAAGTGAAACGGTATATAGCTGGACGCAACGCGAATTTTAAAGAAGCTGAAATGCGAAATTTAATTACATTAACGCACCAGGTCATTACGCCAGAAAAATGGAAAAACTACGTAAACCACGTATACAACAGAAAAAAAATGTGGGAAATTGACAATTTGTTGGATGATATCGAACCAATTATTATAAATATAAATAACGGAGATAGTGATGACAGTGACGATATTAATGATGATGATGATAGTTAAACAGAAACTAAATATGACAGCGATTGACAGAAAAAAGGAACTAAATATAATGGTGTACAGTTACGATTACCTACACACGAAATTAAATACAATGACTTCTTTTATTTTCAACTTATTTATTAGTTTTATTTTCGGATATTTCTACGTTTTGTTCCTTCCAACATATACAGTGCGGTTTTTAAAAGTCCTTCCCTCCTTAACTTTTGAGCGGAACAATACATAAATAAAATTTTTCTTTATATTTTGGTTTTATTTTATTCGATTTTATTTAAATCTATAAACAAATCGTTTGTATCGCTAGCACATACTGTAGAATTAAAAACAAACTGCTTGTGTAACATAAATAAAAGACATTTCTTAATTTCTATTTTATTTTAATTTAACCCAAGTAAGCAGTAGCAAATATTTATGTTTGAGAACCACTGACAGAAGGAAGCCAGGCAGGGTCGTTAGTGGGCATTAGTACAAGCTACCCTCAACACAAAAATATGGATTAGGCTAAAATTCGAGTTGTATTATAATTGAGTTTGTAGGAAATTGTTTTCACTCAGTGAGTGAAATTAAGTAACCTTGAAGGGGAATGGACAACCACTCTAGCGCCCTTACGTAGATAGAACAGAATCGTTTAACTGGATTTGGACGGTTTTGGTACTGAAGTGTAAAGAAAATTGATTATCCATTTTTGCAAATCCTATGTCCTAGAATCATATGCTAGATCTTTCGCCAGTTTATTTCCGTGCCTTTTGTATATTTGTCTTTAGCTTCAAGATACTTGTTTTAGAAATTCCGTAATTTTGACCCATTGATTTTTAGGAATTTCCGCTATAATCGTGCCAAAACCAACTAAGGGATTAGACTTAGGTAAAAAAGAAGATAAACTAGGAATAAGGGGATCTTCAACATGTAATTTAATATTTGACAATTGTTCTGTTCCAAAAGAGAATCTTTTGGGAGAACCAGGATTCGGTTTTAAGGTAAGACAATTTTATTACATTATTCGGTAGTTTAAATGTAACTTCTCTTTCTTCTCATTGTGCCATGTCCGACTTCAGGTAGTTGGCTATCATCATGTCAACAATATCGTGAAATCTTTCTATACCATCAATCGATCAAAACAGATCTTCCACCTGAAAACCCGTCCATTATCTTATGTTTCGTTATCGAGTTTCTTACGCCCAATCCATCGTCTTCCTGCGACTTTTCCCTGAATAATAAGTCGCAGGAGATTGTAGTTAGGTTCTCTGACGATACGAATAAAATATTCTATTTTTTTCTTGTAGAAAAAATGATATAATTAGAACTTCGATACTCAAATAAACATATATTTGTATCCATCTCATAACACTTTGGTATTGAAGGCACGAAGAATCAAACAAAAGTGCGCATAATGTAACCAGTGCAGCAGTCAAATGATGTGTGAATGCACGCCATGATATATCGACACGGGTCTCCCCCATTCTGTTTATGTGGTTATTCCATTCTTTTTTTCTATTTTGTGTTCATTCATTTATACACAGTAAGTTACATTTTCTTCTAATGTCTTCATTTCTCCTTCGATCTCTCATCGTATTTTCTGTAATTATTTTCAGTACTCTCATTCCCGTTTCCAGTAGCCTTTGTGTTGTGACTGTATCAGGTCTTATTCTGAGGCATATGTCATTATAGGTCTTACACTGGCTTTATAAATTTTTGACTTCATCTTTGTTAATGTTTCTGTTTCATCATATAGCTATTAAGGCATCCTGCCAGTCTATCTGCTTTTTGTGCTTGATCTCTCACTTCTTTGTCCATGTCTCCTAGCTGAACACTGTAATTCCAAGGTATTTTATTTCTATTACTTGTTCAATACTAATGCCATAAATTTATATCTGGTTGGTTCTTTGCTGATTACTATTGTTTTAGTTTTTTGAGCTGCCATATTAAATTCTTTTGCTCTTATATTAAATCTATGGACCAGTCTTTGCAGACTATTCAATATTGCTGAGTAACAAACTATCTTTACTTCTTTATTTCCCATTCTGTATCGTAGTCCTTTGTTAACGCTTTTGATGATTTCATCCATGATTAAATTGAAGAGCATGGGACTCAATGAGTCTCCTTGTCTTATTCCCCTGCCTATTTCTATAGGTTCTGTAAGTTGTCCATCTATTCTGACTTCCATTTTGTTGTTTTGGTAGAGTTTTTCGATAGTTTTATAATATGTAGGGGAACTTCTCTATTATACAGTACTTAGATGGATTACATCTTTGATTCTTATTCTATCAAACGCTTTCTTTAAGTTAATCAGACACAGAAATGCTAGTCTATTATACTCTAATGATTTCTCAGTATATGAATAATCTAATTAATAACCTCTGGTTAATGCAATATTTTTTCTTAAATAAGAAATACTGATTTTTAGTAAATATGCGACCATATCATTTTTTACTTTTAGATTGCCATGATGACTCTCGATGCTGGAAGAATTGGAATCGCTAGTCAAGCTTTAGGAATAGCACAAGCATCTTTGGAAGTGAGTATATATTACGTTTAGTGTATAAACACGAACTTATCGAATGTTAACATAATTACCATCCATTTATCTGAATGACTTATGTTTCGTTTCAGCCACATCTGATTTGTGTTATATATTGTGTTTAATATTTTTGTGTATACTATTGTATGCTTGACTCTCGTGATTCCACATATGCTGTCGTTTTTACCATCCTTTATATCGACCTGCTTTATGTGAAACTGAAGAATAATTGAATACTGAAAATACACAAATTTTGCACTAAAATTTTAATTTATATAACGCACGAATTAACTAGCTGCAACTATTAAATGCTATTAAGTTTATATTATTAGGATTGATATAGAAAAAGTAACATTCAAAACTCTTAATTGAGTTTTTTCTGTTCTGTCTCAGTATAAGACTGTGAGTCTGAGATTATTAGTACACCAAGTAGAGAAAACTGGGAGGGAAAATTTTCTTCCCCAACACCGCGTGTCCCAATGGCTAATAGGGAAGGTCCTATGGTATATATGATATAGGACAGGTGTGAATAAGGTATAACCAAATAATCATTCGCGGATCAACTGAGGGCATACATAAGTCTGAAGCTGTCATTAACTGTACAAACATCCAAAGACAATTCTCATTATAACAGACTCATCATACAGTGAGATTTGTGCTATGACTACTGTGCTCCCAATATCGAGGTGTAACACCAGTGTGTCTAAGTCCCGAGTCTGTATAACGGTTGTGGAAAATGTACAGTAAGTCATATGTATAAAAGAGTCAGTTTCCAGATAAAAAAAAAAAACAGAAAAAACAAAAATAATGTTATGACAAGTGTGAGTGAGACTGATAACTTTCATGTGAAGTTAGGATTACATCAGGACTCAGATATTAGTTCTTATTTACTCTCGTTAGTATTGGGTCAGATAACAGTACAACTATTCGTACAGGGTAACATTTTCTGTTGCTTAATGTATGCTGATGATTTGGCATTAGTAGAAAATACTTAAAGGTAATTAGGATAGAGACTGGAACAATTGTGAAAAGGCTTAAAAACCTTTCTTGGGGAAAAAGGCTTAAAAACCTTAGTATTAAGTAGAAGTATTAACCTTGGAGCAGATACTAACTAGAGGCAGTCTTCATGCTCTGAGTGCGAGACGAGTATCGCAAGAGGGGGAGGGAGAGCTAATAAAACTACATGCTATTTCTCTCGAACCTCACTCCGATTAATCAGTATCAAACCCCTCTACTTTCCTGTACAAATGCCGAACCGCTGGGTAGTTTTATTCGTTCTCTCTGTCGGTATACCTTCCGCACTCTGAGCATTGAAAGTGATTGAAGACTGCCTCTAGTTAGTATATGCTCGAAGGTATCAACAAAAAGAAGTATCTGGAATGGGAATGTTCATTTAATGATGAAGTTTCGATTACAAATAAGGTGATAGCCTTGAATGGGGAAATGATTTTGAAAAATATTAGTTTTAAGTATCTAGGATCGGTATTACAGAGTTGTAAATAAGGCGGCAGCATTGCAGATTTTTGTATATACGTATACAATATAACACAATTTCGTTTTGCTTGCTTACAGCCATCCAGAGTGGAAAAAATTAATTCAAATGATGGCAATCTACAAATAGTTCTTTTACATTAAAAGTTCTTTAATGCTTACAAGATAAAATACTAGTTATAGCTATGTAAAATACTAAATAAATTCAATCATTTTAATCTAAATATAGGTCGCTGCTGAATATGCTTCTAAACGTTTGGCTTTTGGTAAACCTCTTACCAAACTGCAAACGATCCAAAACAAATTAGCTGACATGGCATTGCGATTAGAATCAGCTCGATTATTGACTTGGAGGGCTGCGTGGCTGAAAGATAATAAGAAACCTTACACCAAAGAAGCAGCTATGGCTAAGTTAGCAGCAAGTGAAGCTGCTACATTTTTAAGTCATCAGTGTATACAGATTTTAGGGGGAATGGGGTAAGTACTTTTTATGTAAAAGTTTATAAAATTGGTAAAAAACTCAAGAACCTTAAGTTATGTTATAATTTTACATTTTTCGAAATATATTTTTATCTTTTACAAAGTTTTAGTTGTTTAGTGGAAACGTATTTATGAAATAGAAGCTGTTCCTTTTCCAAAGAATAATACATAGTTGGGTTTGTCAATAATTTAAGTCAATATAAGGTTGAATGTTCGAATAATTAAACTTTAACGGTATACAAGGCAACTATCGAACACGGTGATTAATTTAATCTTGCCCAAGTACTTTCGATCAATAGAATATCTTCAGGGTCATTTCGTCAGTTGTGGCCTATCCGACATGAGTAGAATGTCATAAAATGTAAATTTGGACATAACAATACAAAATACAATACACAAAGACAAACAAACACTTTAAAATTTTTGAAAATGAGAAGCTACATGTTGTATAGAAGCCGGAGACAGAATGAATTCTGTCTCCGGTTCATGACGGTGACATCATGACGAACAGGAAAGATATGGGTTGCTGCAATTAATTCTATAAGGAAAATTAGAACGAAAACGGGGACCGGGAAGGCGAAGGATTTCCTGGTTGAAAAATCTACGTACGTTGTTCAGCACAAAAACCAAAAATCCTTTCCATTGCCATTTTTTTTTCACGCAATTGGTTGTTTTGAAAATTTGTTGGTTCTAAACTACACGATGGATTTTCAATCTGTCAATTTTGAGTAGATTCCACTAGAGGGCTCTGTGCAAAACTTTTAGTGTACGCCTCGTAATAAACTTACTACTAAGGACAGTCTCATTAGCAATTTATTACAAAAATATTAAAGTGTACTGTCACTGCACTATGTTCTGCTTTCCACTTTTCATTTAACTAAGTCAATAGGCTTCTTCTTCTTGAGTCTTATAACTAGATCTAAGTTGTTAAGAAGCTGGATGGCTTTAACATTGTTGTATTTAAGAAGTCGGCTGTTGGTGACTTTTGATTAATTTTTCAATGGTCTTGTTCATAAAATACCAAGGGGCGTTGAGTATTTTATTATAAATTGACAGACTTAGTGGTCTTCACAATGACAAATACTTTTTTATACTTGATGCTTAGCACATATTTTTTTTTACCACGGACTTTCCAGCGTAGCCTAGTAGTACCCAAATGTTTGCCGCGTCAGGGTATAGTATCTATTATTGTATAGTATTATTTAAACTAACAGAAATGTGTTGGTTCTCCTTGTTTATAAAATTAATGTGTCCAGATTTCGTTTTATTTAATTTAATTCGCCAGCCTTCGGTTCAGTTGTTAATTGTGTTAACAGAGGATTGCAGTTTTCTTGTTAATTTTTCGTAATCTTCAACTACAGCAGTATCATCAGCGAACGGAGCTTTTGTGTTATTATCCAAGTTGAGTTTGTCACTAGGTACAGGACTGGTCATAAACCATTACTTTGCGGTACTCCTGATTTAATTTCTTTTACTTCCGAATAAGCTTCTTCCGGCTCTATTCTGAAACCACTATTTGAAAGTTTCGACTAATTCAATACATTTTCGATTTTATTGAAGTCGGTAGGCCAAAATGTTGGTATACCTGTTGAAAGTGTTTCACGTTTTAACTTAACTGCCTCCAAAAGTTCCTTTCAATCTTTTTCCATGGCTATTTAAAAAATCTAAATAGTGATATCGCAGTAGGAGTAGTTAACTCAAAAAACTTGGTTTTGTCATTCACAAAAGTTTTGCGTTTCTTGTTTTTGTTGTAGTGTAGTCCATTTACATTCCATTGTATTAGTTAAAGACTATTTTATCATTCAAGTTTTTAGGGATAGCTTATTTTGAACTTTATTTTAATCCATTTTGGTTATTGTTCCCAATGTTTGTTGGAGAATTTCCTCAATAGAGGAGGTCTGTTTTTGTTAGTTAATGACTTTTATTTGAGTGTTTGTAAAATTTTATACACTACAATGAAGATCAGTAAAGTTCCGTATGTTATTACAAAAAAATAAACTCTGGGATAAACAATTTGAATAACTGTTTAACTCATTGATGGATCAAGCTAAAATTTTGAAGGTTTGTTAAGCAGTACAAGACCTCTCCTTGAAATCAATCACAAAAGTGTAAGTTATTTTTTACAAAAGTTATAAACAATTAACGACTTTGCCTTATTTTGAAATATAAATATATACCTTTTTCTGTGGCAAAAATATTCTTTGTCTAATGCCATCACTCTCTCTCTCTCTCTCTCTCACACACACACACACGCACACACACAGAAATATATACCTTTTTAATGGTAAGCGAAAAATTGTTAATAATTAAAAAACAACACCGAAATTTCTGCAGAAAATATATACGTATTCTTACAATATTGCTTATTTTTAATATACTTAAATAAACATACTTAAATTTTGATTATTTCCTTGAATATTAAGCTTTTAAAGAAAAAACATTTTTATAAGAATTCTTTTGTTATTCTTATTTGTATTATTTTTTTTTGTTCATATTTTAAACTAAAAACATTTTTTTAGGTACGTATCAGATATGCCCGCAGAACGTCATTATAGGGACGCTCGAATAACAGAAATCTATGAGGGAACATCTGAAATTCAAAAACTAGTTATTGCTGGAAACTTGATTAAGGAAATGGGCATCAACTAATAAGTTCATGACTACAATTTTTAATGTTTATAGGCTATACTCGTTTTATTACTCTTATAGGCTATACTTGTTTTAGTGCACTGAAATTTGTATTTGATTTTTATAGTTATATATAAATACATTTTTTAATTAACGTGTTTGATTGTACTGTGAAAAATATGCTAAATATCGAACTACACTTGGATTGGTATTGTGTTGTCTGTATACAGATTTAATACATTTACTTATATTTTGATTTACTTAAATGTTTGATAAAAGTTTGACACTGCTTGGCTGTGTTGTACTGCAAGAATATACCATTTAATAGTGATAACTTCAGTAATAATAATTGACCCATCCTCCCTCGACAAGCGAAAATAGCGACAATTTTCTGTAAGATACGGCTGATTAATATTGTTTTAATTTATTACCCTTGCTGCAAAATAGCAATAAATACAAAAAAAGAAGGAAACAAACCTTTTCTTACTCAATGTTTTTCAACCACTTAGATTGCACTTAAGACCTTCATAATTCGCCTGGAACATATTTATAACTGAATAAAACAGTCCAATAAATTTCAATAAAATCGGCCAGATTTCGTATAATAAATTTGCAATCTAATTTTTTTACAAAAACTAGACCATATAGAAATTTGCCAATTTTTTAACACATAAAAACTATTCTTGCACAATAAAAACTAGACCATATAGAAATTTGTCAATTTTATAACTTTATAATTTTATAAAATATAGTTTTATTGGCCGCTACTAATAATTACACTCTAGTTGTTGGGAATGAAGGGCCCTTCTCCTCCCAGATTTGGGCCCTCCGATGTTGGGCATGATCTCTCCCAATGCAGCGGATCTCACCGCAGCTCTTTGAGTCACCGCTTTTACGTGCTCTTCCCACTTTCCGTTTTGACTCAGGGTTACCCCTAAATACCTCACGCATTTCTTTGGAACCACTATCTTTCCTGCACATTCAAATGTTATCCCGTCGGTTTTCCTTGGTCCCTTGAGAATTATAGCCTCGGTCTTACCCCCAGCCAGTTCTAGCTCATGCATTTTCATCCATTCCTCAACTTGGTTGCATGTGCGCTGTGCACCAAAAATAAGGTCCTCCCTGTCCCGCGCCACTATCAGCATAGCGAGGTCGTCCGCAAATGCGAATGGGGTTACACCCTCTCCGTATTGTTGGCTCACAACCCCGTCATATGCGAAGTTCCATAGCGTGGGTCCTAGGACCGACCCCTGTGGCACTCCAGCCGTCACGTCAACCACTACTCCTTTTTCTACCACAATTTTCCTCTCTGACAAATAGTCGGAGACCAAATTCATCAAGTACCTCGACACCTTCTCTCTCGTAGGACCTTCATTACCTCTTTCCATTTTAATGTGTTGAAAGCATTCCGGACGTCAAACAACAGTAGGATTGCCCACCTCTGGTTAACCCCTACCCCGCGTAATTCCCGGAAGACTTCCATTAGCGCATCCATCGTGCTCCCGTTCTTTCTGAAGCCGTACTGCCTATGTGACAGCCCGCCTGACTCTTCAATCACTGTGTCTATTCGCCCTCTTAAGAGCCTCTCGTATAATTTACCTATACACGACAGAAGGCAAACAGGTCGATACTTGTCTTCCCCCTTTGGGAGTAGCACGAGCTTCGAGATCTTCCAATTTGCCGGAAATCGCTGAGTTTCAAGCAGAACATTCATGTGGTTCAAAAGCCACGTCGGCTCTATACTGCCAATGCGTTTCACCGCTTCTGGTGGTATTCCATCCAGTCCCGGAGCCCTTCGTGTCTTTAGGGCACTCAACGCTTCGTTGAATTCGTCTATGGTAAAAGGTACAGCTCGCTCAGCTTCGGCGTGCCACTGCACTTCATGCCAATGGCCGGGTGGAAATAGCTCTCGGGTAACCTCAAGCTTCCTGTCCAGTAGCATCTCATACAGAGGGTATATCTTGAACTGGTTCATTACGATTTTGTACCCCTGACCCCAAACGTCCTCATCCAACTTGTCACACAGTTCTCTCCAGTGCCTCTTCTTTTCGGCTCGGATCATCCTGTTCAGTTCCTTCTTTCGCGCATTGTATACCATATCCGTTCTGCTAGTTTCGGTTACTTCTCCTCTACCTCTTGCCCTCGTAGCCTGTCTTCTGATGGCAATGCATTCCTTCCTCTTATTGGAGATCTATTCACACCACCAATAAGGCATTTTTCTTTTTTCGTCTACCCCGTTTATGCAATTTCTCATAGTCTCTCTTATTATTGATTCAAGTCCCTCTGCCGATGGCGGTTGGCATCTTCTCCTCTCTATCAACCATCTAGAATACTCATCAAACGCTAGCCAGTCCGTTCTATCTCCACATCTGCTTCCTGTTTGGTTCGCTGATGACGCCACGTTGGTAGTCCCTAATCCGACGATCGAAAAGCCAATGTAGCGGTGTTCTGTAGCGGTGTCATCTGGCAGCACGGTCCAGTCTCTAATTTTCCTCGCCGCATTCCGAGTGGCACAGGTGACATCGATATATGAATGCGAATTTCCCCTCACGAACGTTGGTTCCTGTCCATAATTTAAGACCACTAAGTCCAGAGTTCCTATCCATTCCATAAGCATTTGTCCGCGAGCGTCCGTTCTGGGAGAACCCCACTCCGCCGCTTTGGCGTTGAAGTCCCCCAGCACTACACATTCTCTTCCCAATAATCTTACCTCATTCATAATCTCATCCAGTCTACTTTCATAATTTTCCACTGTACAATTCGGTGAAATATAGCAACATACCACATTTACTCCCTCCACACGTATCGTCACAAATCCCTCATGCGTATCAATACCATATACTCTCAGTTTTCTATTAAGTATCCGCACTCCTACTACGCCCGACGTATCCACGAACCATTCCCTACTGCGCACTAACGTGGGGTTTGGCTCCGCTGTTACCAGGATGTCAATTTCTTTTTCGGTTGCGGAGACCACAGCGAGGTCGTGAGCTAGCCTAGCCGTCCCAACATTTGTTTGCAGCACTCTTAACACCCTTTCACGCTTACTCCCCATTTTGTCGCTTAGTCAGTAACCCCCTACCCTTCTTTCACCTTCACCTCTTGCTCTTCTGATAATTCCCCTGAATTTGGGACACCAAGAGGACGTAGATATATGACCTTCTTCGTCACAATTAAAACACTTTACCGTGTTGCTTTGAGACTGGGATTGCACATGGCCCTCCATCCCACACTTCCAGCACCCCCCTTTTGCTTCTCCCTCACAGTCTCTTGCTATGTGGCCATGTGCTTGGCATCTATAGCATCGTGTCACCTTTACCATCTCCTTTACCGTGACGTGTACCATCCCGATCTTTATTTTTTCTGCCACTAAAAGTCTTCTGGCTATGTCCTCATCCACCTTCACATAACAAATTATGCTTCCTCCCTACCAGCAAATTTCTCCACCGATTCGACAATGTCTTTTTCTGTGGTTAGGCCATCCATGTCGGCCAGCATCAAACCCTTCTTTACTCTTCCACCTTTTGCCACTACTCTTGTTGCATATCCTTGTCTTGATGCTACTAAATTCCTGACTTGTTCCGCCATTTTCCTGCCTCCATTTAATTCCAGGACCTCGCCTTCTTGTCTGGTTTGTCTCACCTTGTTTATGACGACATCCTCTCTTTCTCCTAGCTCTTCCCTTAACTCCTTTACAAGTTCAGCATAGGGCTTGTCCTTCGGTTTTGTGATGATTACCATCCCTTTCTTTTCTGTGGCTACTATTTGCCTTTCCTTAATCGTTTTGCCGTGTATCGTTGCCGTTACCTTCTTTCCTCTTGCTGCCCACTCTAGCACTTTCCTTGATTTTTCCACTCCTAGTGCTGCTGGTGCTGCTATCCCTATCTTCTCTCTATCCATTCTTTCCATACGGTCGATTAGCTTCCTGGCTGCTGCCAAGAATTTAACACCCATTGGTTCTTTTCCTCTCCTTTGCTTCAGCTTGTGGACAAATTTTTTTGATGTTCTCTCTCTCCCATTTTCCTCTACTGTACATGTTATCTGAGACATAGTCCCAATTCCTCCATTTTCATCTTCTTCCACGTATAATCCGGGGAGGTCTGGGTACATTGCACTAAAATCCCCCCTCACTCTTGCGTCAGCTGCATCCTCTGTTACATAGATTGCCACATCGTCCGGTGCCTCCAAAATTCCTTTTTCACAGACGGTTACTTTCTCGTAAATCTCCTCTGGCCATTCCTGATCTAGTACTTCACTAATTTCTTCGGTGTTTTCCGCCGTATCCATTTTCTTATATAGTTCCTCAATCCTTTTTCTTTGTAATTCTGGGTTCTCTTCCCAATTTGCTTCTACCTGGCTCCCTACGCACCTCGTAGTTGTTGCTACAGTTATTTTTGTTTGCGTTCCTATTGTTGTTACACATTTTCTTATGCCTTCTCTTTTGTCAATATCCTCTGTAGCACTATACATTAGCTCTCTAATGTTTTTTTTCTATTTCACACCAAATCTGCCGTACCTTTGCGGCTCCCTTTATCTCATTCTTTGTATTTGCCACCGCCTTTGTTAGGTTCACTAACTCATCGATGCATCCCTTCATTCTTGACATTCCTTTCTCTGTTTTACTTCTATTTAAATCTATCTTACTTTCATTTTTGTTTCCACCATCTCCTATGCCTTTCTCTCCGTGCGATTTCCTTTTCTTTTTTCTGTTAGTGTTGGTCGTCCATTCACTCTCGTCATTACTATTTCCCGTTTCGTTTTCACTGACATTCTCCTCCACTGTTTCACCTATGTCCTCGTTTTCTCCTTCTTTCTTCCCTTTTTGCTCATCATTTTTCTCCCCCCGGCGGTCCTTTTCCTCCTCTTCCGCTAATGTCGCCAACCTCTCTTCGCCTATATCCTCCATAGACTCTCCTCCCCTATGCTTACCTTCTTTTTTATTAGGTATTTTTCCATTTTTCTTCTCACGAGTTGGGTCGATTCTTCGGTCCAGCGGGGCGGTGCGCCCATACTCCGCCAAGGCTATAATCCCCTTCGGTGGCGACATATTAGAATGATGCATAGCCGCCTGTTCTATGGATATCCATTTGTTATCAGTGGTTTTTTCCACTGGTTTTTGTATTAGTGGAGGTTTTCTCCTCGGGTATA